AGAAGATAGCACAGGGGGGGGGGGTAGAGTCGGGATTGCAATCGTGGGCAGGGGGAGGGAGTAAAAGAAAAAGAGGAGGAGAAGAAGAAGATGCAATGAACCAGTCTATTAGGTACTCTAAAGTCGTCAATCACTAGGAGTTTCAATATTTGCCTGAAAGTCCCTAGATCGTGAAGTGATATCTCTAGCAGTATCTCATTATCCAAAAAGAGGAGTGTGGAGGGAGAATAGACAAAGGAGAGGAAGAGAGAATACACAAAACCCTTCATATCCCTCTCCTTCTCTGGGCTTCATTCCACATGGCACTTTATCTCATGAAGACTTTGAAAACACAACAGATTTCCAATGACGACGTCAGCCACAGGTGAGTACCCGATTCCCTATATCCACAGATCCCAATCTTCCTCTTCCTCGCAACCAGTCACCTCATGTAGATAGCGTGGATAATGCCACGTCAGTAATCAAGACAGCTGTCATACGCCACATCATCAATGAAGACCAATAGCAGTGCCACGTGGACCAAGAGCAACGCCACATATACTAGAGGTAGCACCACGTCAGCATACCACGTTGACCAGAGGCCGCGTCACATATACGAGAGGCACCGCCACATCAGAGGCAATGCCACGTCAGCATGCCACGTAGACCAGAGGCAGAGCCACGTGAGTATGCCACGTAGACCAGAGGCAGCGCCACTTATATGAGAGGCAGCGCCACGTCAACATGCCATGTAGACCAGAGGCAACGCCACATATATCGGAGGCAGCGCCACGTCAGTTTACCACGTAAACCAGAGGTAGCGCCACATGTACCAGATGCAGCGCCACGTCAACATGGCCTGGCGCACTGAAGAAGCGCCAGCATGCTGCCTCTACCACGCGCCGTCGTTCCCAACGCCAGCGCAAAGCCAGCGCAAAGCCAGCCTGAAGCCGGCGTTGTGGCAAAGTTGAGCCAGCGTCAAAGCAGCATAGCAAGACTGAATGCTGATCACCTCGAGGCCAGTCTTTAAGTAGCATTTGGCAAGGCTCTCTGGCCTCGGGTCTCCTTCCCTCAGTCGTCCAGATTGAATTACATCCAAAGGTCTGGATCATATAGTTGCAGAAATTCCCCTTGGACCTTATGTTGTTTGGGTACCTGCATACAAACAAGTGTGTGTGCTTGATCGACGGCTTGGACTGGGTACCTTTGAACTTTGACTGTTGGGGTCACGACAGTTGGCAAAAGTCAACTATCTCACGTCCAGTCCTTGAATTTTCGCGTGGGGTCTTTGCCCCTGTTTTCGGCCTGGGCTGAGGGCGACCGATTTGGCCCTCAGGCTCTCCACGAGACATATGGCATGGGTTATTGCATTCCTGTCGGCCCAGTTTTCGAGTTCCGCAGAAATAAATCAATTCTCAGTTAACCCACGTTCATATGCAGCGATAATATCAAGAGCAGTGGGTAGGAGTTCTCTCCTGCTAGACCATCTAGCTTCAGACGGTGGTTGGGACTTGAACTTCACCTTATACTGCTTATGAGGTCGTCCCCTGCCACCTGTAGAGAAATAGCCATGTTCCAATATTTTCTCAAGTTCATAGCCTTCGTTCATAGAGGGTGGAAACATGGATGGCCTATTTGGGAAATTGTCACTTTCCACATAAGGTAGCAGCTTAGACGCATGGAAGACTGGGTACGTCCTGAGATAAGGAGGTATATATATACGGTAAGAAGGTCCATCTTCTCCTCCAATTACTTTGAAAACTTCCCAGGGTCCATAGTAGACAAGTGGCAGTTTATGAGACACATTTTCTTATAAGGAAAACTCTTTAGACTTTACCCAGGCAAAGTCCCCTTCGTGAAATTGTGAAGGACGACCATGTTTATTAGCTTGTTCGATCATTTGCGGTTGGCCTTTCTGTATGTTTTCCTTCACTTTCCTGATGTCTTTTTCATACAAAACTGCGAATTCTCACGTTCCTGGGGGTAGCTTCTGAACCTGCTCCCTTGTTAATGCATCAATGGGACGCTTAGGCTTCCAACCATTATGTAGTGCATTAGGTGTTCTACCTGTAACAGTATGTATACTGTGATTATATGCACTAGCAATTTTCAGCAACTTCTCATCCCAATCAATTTGGTCAGGATGGACATACATTCGCAAAAGTTGTTGGCAAAGACGATTCATTTGCTCAGTTTGGCCATTTGTTTCAGGATGTCTGCCTGGCGATATGATCAACCTGGTTTCATAGAATTCCATGAACTTTTGCCATTGCAGATTGGTGGACCGAACATCTCTGTCAGATACGATGGTCTGAGAGATGGTTTTAGGGAAGCCATACTCAGAGACCCATCACATTTGAAACTTTTGGACTAGTTCGGTTCTTGCTTCCACAGGTAAAGGAATGAACTTAGCATAGTTAGAGAATCTATCGACGATGACCATTACCTGACTGTTGTCGTTTCGACTCTTAGTGAGGCTCGTGAAGTCGATAGAGATGGACTCACCTGGCTCACTTGGAATAGGCAGCGGTCTCAGTAGTCCCATCGGATTTTCGTGTGAGGGTTTGTTTCTCTGATAAACAAGACAAGTCTGNCTGGCTCACTTGGAATAGGCAGCGGTCTCAGTAGTCCCATCGGATTTTCGTGTGAGGGTTTGTTTCTCTGATAAACAAGACAAGTCTGCACATACGTTAGTACATCTTCATGCATTCCTTTCCACTCAAAATGTTTTCACACATCGGCATACGTGTTCTTGAAACCAAAGTGACCTTCCGTATCATAGCATTTCTCAATAATCAAACTCTTAATTTGTTCTAGGTGAGGAATACACAATCATTCTTCGGTTTTGTCCAGCAAGAAGAGTAAGCCATCAGTCGTTCGATATTCTGGAAATAACTCAGGGTTATTTCGTAGTGTTCCAATGATAGGACTCCAAATAGGATCACTCCCATAACCTTGGCGGATCTGTTCTTTCAGTTCACTTCCAATATCGAGATAAGAGACAATAGTTCCAAAGAAATCTGCAATTCTGGACAAAGCATCTGCGACCACATTAGATTTGCCTTTGATGGTTTTCACCTCAAAGTCAAAGGTGTCGAGGAAAGCGGACCACCTTACCAACTTGTTGGAGAGCTTAGGCTGAGTCTTGATCCACTTCAAGGTAGAGTAGTCAGAGTAGACAGTGAAATGCCTTCCTAACAAGTAGTGCTTCCAAGTACAACAACTAAGGCATACAGTTCCCTTTCGTAGGTGGAGTGGGCCACTTTTTCTGACGAAAGTCTTCTGGACATTAACTCTATAGGTCTATGTTCCTTACCGTCGTCTTGCTGTAGCACAACCCCAATCCCATACTGACTTGTGTCAGTCGTAACGATGAAAGGAAGAGAAGGGTCATCAATCTTAAGGACAGGGTAGTGAGTCAGAGCATGTTTGAACTTTCTAAACGATGACTCACAATCTTTGTCCCACAACCAAGGCTTTTCTTTTTTCAGTAATCTTCTCATAGGAGTAGCTATCAAGGAGAAGTTTCTGACGAACTTACTATAATAGCTAGCAAGTCCTAGGAAAGGTCTCAGTTCAGTTATAGTCTTAGGTTGTGGCTAATCTCTGATTGTTGTAATCTTCTTTTCTTCAGGCCTTAGTCCTTTCTCGTTTACTATATGCCCTAAGTACAAGACTACAGGCTTACCAAACTTTGACTTCTTTGGGTTTAATTTGAAGTTGCCCTGCGCAACTTCTGCAAGATCATCCGTAGGTGTTTTTCGTGATCTTCTAGTGTCTTACTATACACTAGAATGTCACCGAGGTAGACTACTACGAACTAATCAAGCCACTGACGAAACAATTCGTTCATTGACCGTTGGAAGGTTGCAGGTGCGTTGGTCAAACCGAAAGGCATAACCACGAACTCGTAG